ACCACTCAGATGTAGCGTGTGGAAACAGCAAGGGCTATCGCAAGCATTCATATGCTGGATGAAATATACTGATGAAACTGGGCTGCTCAGAACCATGCTCCCAAAGGGCTACTTCACGAGGGTCAGAATTGGCATCCATTTGTAAAATGCCGGATATCTCAGGTGTAGTGGGGGCATTACTTTCGATGGGGCCGTGGAGCCTTCTGCTTGTTCGCTGGAACACTTTGCTAGATTTTGTTGATGCGCACTGGCCTAAATGACAGAAGGATGTCATTCAGTTATTCTCCTGTAAAAAATAAGACCGCATGTTTTATACGATGTGCACGTCAAGTTTCTGCTCTGTTGCAATGTTCTGCCGTTCCGCCCCATCGCCTATGTATAGGGAAATGTAAATAACATTTCCCTATAAATAGACGATGTATAGACGATGTGCCTTGAGTGGAATTTAAGTTGAATAGCCTGTGGTAAGTTTTAACCTGGATCTTTACAAGTGACGGGCCTTGACCTGAGGCAGGATTCTGAAAACCTTCAGTAACACCGAGAGCCGTAAATGAAAAAAAATTGTAATAACTTCTTGAGTTCTTGATGAAATTGGAACTGCTGTAAAAAGGAACAGTGATGTAGGAAGATGCTCGGTTAAATATTTACCGCTGCCACAACATCACTATTTTCTATTTCCTTCTTCATGGAATAATCGAGCACCACAAGTTGGGCATGCTTTGATTTCCGGTTGCTCTAGGCCAGGGCTTCCCAACCTTTTTCACGCGCGACCCCAAAAATCACGATTATGCCATTCAGGGCCACGAGCATTGATCGTCTGTGCACTAAAATCGCAAAGAAAAACATTACTTGGCATTTCCTTGCTGGTTCGCAACTTCAAATATGATCTTGGCGACACCAAATGGGGTCGCGACCCTTGGGTTGGGAAGCCCTGCTCTAGGCTCTTGTATTTCAAGTGTAATGGCTTGACGGTATGAAAATCGTTTTGCGAAGTCCTGGCAATACAGTTCCTTTTACTGAACTGTCGGACTTGCAGAAGCAACGATTTTTCAGGCTTTTTTCTGTGTTGCTCAGAATCACTGGCTTGGTAGCGTGCCTTGCTTTCTCTGTATTGTTCTGCAGGTGCGAGTGATATGATGAGGCGCCTATGAAAAATTATTTCGAAGTCTACCTCTACGACTCCCAGTTGACGTTTGTGATACGTTCTGTGTTGGAAAGGGTCTGTTAGTCATCATCATTTCTACCAGATGGTGTCTCATTGATATTGTTTCCATAGAATTTCCCTGACGGTTCTCATCAAGGAGACATTGCTCCCTGAAGGGGTCCGCACCAAGTGCGACGGATGTTGCAAAGGCAATGGCAAACACTCCGCATGTTGTTAAGTCTGGCTGGCGCTGCACGATATGCCATCGGTAGCGAGTGTGGGTATGGACGTTGCAGAATGTAGTATTGGGGAGGAAGTAATTGCAACACCAAGCTGTCATACACATTGATGTTCTTGCTGTCTTAGTAAATGCAAGTCCAATGACCTACTTTGCTTCTGCCAATGCCCCATGTAAAGGAATTGTAAATCATTTTCATGCTCATCCACACTGGTAGTAGCTTGGTTTTTGATCAAATAAAACCTCTTCAGGACAAAAATATGTGTGGGCAGCCAGGAAATTTCTGAATTTATTCATATGTTCATCATGAATACATTGCTTTGGATCGGTTGTGTGCTGAATTTTGGCGGGTGTGAGAGATGGTGCTACTGGGCGTACATGAGACCTTTCTTAAAAATTCCCAGGTTCACTGTCAACCTGAGCGGCCAATCGTGAATTAGTCATTGGCCTATGCAATTCAACAGCTATAGGTCTTCCCTCCCGCTTTCTTGAAGGAAAAAATTGCATGAGTGCCGTGATAGCCTACGCGTTCATCTACAGGTGGCGCCAAGGTCTGCAAAATCAGTCCCCCCCCGCAAATGTACCCCCATGGCATGTACCCAAAGTCGAAGTTGTCCTGTAGTCGACAACCCAACAGCTATCCCTGTTCCCCTATCATTGAAGAAATCAGGAGTGGTGTTGGCCTAAGCATCCACCCATGGGATAAAACTACGGCAACGAAAATTGTTCCCCCCCACCCCCTAAATGTGCCCTAAGGGCATTTACCTCCAAAGTTGGAATTGTTCTAGTCAGCAATCTAACAGCTACTCGTGCACCAAGTTTCAGCCTCTCATAATTTCTAGAACGAGGTTAGAATTAGCGTCAGTCACTCACACGATAGTCTATATATACCTAGAATATTAGATACGTTCATATTATTCATTTCCCGAAAATTTCATGAATAGACTACGTCTGAAGATGGTTTCATATGGTACTTGAGCACTTCATTATTCGCTGCTCCATTCACCCAAATGTTATCCTGAGCATTAAATAAATTCCTGAAAAAGAGGGACCACGAAGGGGCACGACCTTATTCTTAAGATCTATATTTACTCTCCGAAATGGATGTCCTTATTCATACATTCCTAGACATTGGATCTATCGAAAACTTTCGGCAATGAGTACGAATTATGAGCTTCAGATTCTAATCGGACACTTGGTTATTCCCCATTGGGTTATTCGGTAATTCATTAAGTGCTTAAATGCTCCACTATCTCAACATCCACCAACTCAATCGAGTGAATCACTGAGATTTTACAAAACTATTCATTAATGCTCACCTCTATCAAGTAGATCGAATGAAGGTACTTTTCACTCTGGGGAGCATGGTGTTCTGCTACCAATTCGCAGGCATAAATGGATCCAACAATTCATTGCCCTTTTATCTTAGATGGAGGAATAATGCAGCCCAATTACGAAAAATGTCGGATTACGGAGATGGGGAAGGAATACTACGGTGAAGAGAACACGACAGAAACAGGGAAGGATTGCGAAATCTGGCCCAATGAGATAGACGACGATTTTCCAATATCACTTTTTTCCCACCTACCATTCCAAGATCGTCAGCCATTTGGACTGACTCAGAAGATCCGGAAATTTTTTTTCCGATGGACGGAGTTAGCTGAACCAAACAAACAAATCTCAGAAGAAAATAACTACTGCCGGAATTATGGTTCTATGGAGCGACCCTGGTGCCTCGTTTCCATGGCGAACCTTACCTGGGAGTACTGTGACATCCCGCTCTGCTATGGTCCCAAAGGTCTGAATTCCTTTTTGTCGTGACCTTCTAAAATCGGGTTCTCAGAACTCCGAATTAGCAATGAATTATCCTTGAGTTAATGAACGGTTTTCATAAACTTTAATATGTTCACGTTTTATGCCAGGGTTTATATGTTTCTTTTTAATTTTCAGTGTCGTTTTCCGATTCTTCCCTAATTCAGTCCATCTCTGTGGGATTTGATCTTCAAAACTTCGAAGTTGAAGAAAATTAAGTTATTCGACTTCAACAAATCATGAATTTTACTTTCAATTTCGCATATTCCATTTCTTGCATTACTGATTTCTCTCAACATTTTAGGAGTAAGTATTGTTATTTTCAGTAAGTATTGCCTCCTTATTCAAACTGGAGGACCGATGGTTGAACAAAGCGTGCTCAATCCTGACCGGTAGAAAGGCCGGTCGACAAATGTTTGTGTGTGTGTGTGTGTGAGCTCTACAGGCCAAATGCTTCGGGATATGATCTTGAGGTTTCAACAGAAATTTTCCGTATCTTCCGAGAATGACTTTTCGTTATCAAACTTGCAATTCGGCCTCACGAAAGGGAGAGGAAGGGAACTTGTTAATTGCCAATTTCTTTCCGCATTTTGCACACTTCCATTTTCCATTAAAGTTTGATATTGCTCATACGAGTATGGGGAACTTCGACCGAATTCTGGAGGAAATTTTCAGAGAACAATCATGGTTTTTTTTTCCATTCGTTAGAAACAGCAAGCAAACTTTGCCCCTTCATTCGCCGAAAATAACATCTAAAAATGAATATAAATGCAAATTTCGAATGTAGGTTTTTTTCGTAACCTAGAATCGCCCTGCAAAAGGAAACTTTTTTTTTAGCAGGAACCTGACTATGAAGCATTTTAGAGTTAAAAAAAAATGCCATGAAGCAAACATCCCCCCTCACTCACCATCTTCTGCCGTGTTGTAGTGACTGGTCGTGAATCAATTCTGGTTATGTGTGCTTGCTTCCTACCTGGTGTACTTCTCTGGCCTAAAAAAAAAACTAAATCCTGGATTAGTTATTAGTAATAAATTGGGCAGAATGCCTGGAATGTGCATTTTCAACTTCAGTGATCGTCACACAACAAATTTCCCTCCGTTCCTGTTCCTATGCATCTGTGAGCAAGTGGGGCATTAATCTAACACAAATATTCATCATTCAGAGGTAGAGACGGTGAATGTTCTCAAATGCCCGTTGAGATGGCCTTACTCGTTGCAGCATCATGCAACTAAACGCATGCATCCTCTTCAACTATGACTTCGAGAAGAGAGTACAGTTCCTTCGGATTATACAGTATGTAACCTATCAAAAACATTGAAATACGGTCGCTTTCCAAACAGCTCATTCTTTTTCTGGAGCGAATAGCCTATCGGGAGCTATTCATTATCTCAGGAAAAGAGTCCTAACATATTCTCAAGAAATCTCAACTAAAAGACCTCGGTATACCTTCAAGGTGAATGCAAAGTATCATGTCTACATATATCATGCCAAACATACCGTTGCTCTATAGTAGCAGAGCTTACTAGGTGAAACTAGGTCCAAAAATATGTTCATTCCATATGAGAGGAGATATGGAAAGAAAGGGAAAATTATATGAAATTAATACGTGCATTAAAAAAAATCAAATTACTAGTATTTTCCTGTACAGGCAATAATTACAGAAAGCAGGTAGATAAGGCAATACTTTTGGAATGCCCTAGTGCACATTCAATGTCATTCTTTTATTCACCGGATAGCTAAATTGTACAGCAAATACATTATCTATCCAATTGATTAAGCCCTTCGCTGGTTCTCTGACTGCATAGATCCTGCAGAATGCAAACAAACGGAATCTGGACGAGAGTACTTAGGGTTGAAGAATGTGACACTGACGGGGAAGGAGTGCCAGCCCTGGCTGAGCCAAACGCCAAACCAACATATGACCATCCTCCACCTGCCGGTATTCCCAGATTCTGGCATGGACAGTCGTCACAACTACTGTCGAAACCCCGATCTCGAAAAGGAGGGTTGTACGGCCCATAGCAGTGAATTTAAAAGGAGCTACTTTATCCCAAGGTGTGCAGATATGAAATTCAGTAATTTTACTAATAATGGGCACTAATATATTGGTACACGTGTGATATTATAATTTCTGTTAAACCAGAAAAAAACTAACGTTGATTAATCTCTTCACCACCGTCCAAGCCAAGTTATGTTAATAGATGTGCATGTGCTCCTAATGATTTAAAGTTTGACCCATCTCATCTCTGCATTGGCCATTTCCGCCATTTGTTGTCTCACACCTTTTCCTTTGATGATTTCATGAACGTTGTCTATGTGCATACCCAGAAGAAACCAAATAGATAGGCTTATCAAAAGTTCCAGGAACAGACTTCAATTGTGTACAATTACACAAAGTACAAAGTACAGGATGCGCCAATATTCATACCACTTTCAACTCTTCTATTCATGTAGGCCTGAAAACATGAAAGAAGATATGTATTGTCCCTCTACGTATGTGAGTTTCTCTTTGGTGGTCTACCATTTCTGTTTTAACATGAATCCTTGTCTGCCTAAATATGGTTAGAGGTTAAAAAAATAGAATGACTAACCATGAGGTAGAACTGATCGAAGATAAAAAATATCGCCCATACAACTCTGACCGTAAGAAAACAGATTACTGTATGCGATGTCTGCTTGAAGCACTTGCTCATGAACGAAATCGAAAGACCTGAATCAGTTAATGTTCGTGCTTAAAAGGAGTGAAACCATGTCCTTTAAACGCAATCGACTGACAGATTCAAAGAATCCATGTTGCCATCAATAGGAACGGGGACACATCGAACATATTTTGTCAATAGTTATGGTGAGCACTTGTGTCTTGTTGGGATTCAATTGATTCCAAGGGAATTAATTAGTACAATAAATATAATACTTCGATTTGGTGTGAATGTGTGTCCCACCATGTTTGTATAGAGTTTATGTTTAAGATTAGAAGAAAACTTTACAGGATCTTTCCGAGTACGTCCACTGTGACTACAGGCAACCAATCAGTACCACGCTAGCACCATGGGATTTCTAACCACTCAAGAGTGACGTTTTTCCAACATCCCAAACAGCATGTTCATGTTAATTTTACGTAAAATGAATGTACATTTTTTGTCCATTTTATATCATTTTTACGCAAAACATTGTCAAGATAATGCCAACATGTTTGCAGAAATGTCTTCCATTTTATATCATTTTTACGCAAACCATTGTCAAGATAATGTCAACATGTTTGCAGAAATGTCACCTCTGTGATACGTAAACGTTAATATAAAATTAATGTCAATTTGATGTAAAATTGACATGCACGTTTGCATTCCAAACAGCATGTTTACATTCATTTTACGTAATATTCATGTTAATTTACCCCTAGCATTCATGTGCATATAACGAGCTAAACAGTACCTTCGAAGAGAATTGATACACTTTATCTCCCATTCTTATCCATACTTCAGAACTCTAGGGTGGTTGGACGAGTACACTAATACTCATCCTCACCAGCACTTAAGAGTACCAAAATGACCTACTGTTTCCTCCTCCCGCACCAGAACCTCTGGAGGAGGGACGTTCAAAGGAGCTCTCTTCCATTTTGGATAGAGATGATGTAGTACTTTCATTGTCATTCTACTCTTCCCTAATCCTGTGCACTAATGTAATAAACGGCTTAACTTCAGCATTTAATGATTCCCTTAGTCATATTATGAATGTATATATAATAATTTCATGTTTTCCATATATATATTCATGGATTGCATAATAAAAAGTGAAAGGATAGTAAGAAAACCTGAAAATATATCAGGAAAGCCAGTACTTGATAGCATTTGTAGGGTGCAGGGAACAAGGGTTCCATCTAGTGAGGAATCTTGGTATTGCAACTGCGGGATGGTCAGCTAAAGTTTTATATGGAAAGTGTGATGTTAACTTTGCATAAACTTGATATCATGTACTTCACGTCAGACGTCCAGTTTACGTAAAATACATATACACTTTGGTGACGTAAATATGAGAACGTACATTTTACGTAAACGTGATGTTTTTTTCATGGCAATCGCAATAAATTTACATTGTTGGCAAAAAAATTGATATATTGTTTACGTAAACGTGCTGCTTGGGATCCTCCATATTTCCAGAATGACGTGCCTCATGAAAGTCTTCCGCTTCAACGAAACAAACGTTCTACATTCAGCTGGGACGAATGCGTTGATGCAGTTTGCCAATCATGGGTTACGACCAGTGTTCCAAGCTATTTACGAAAGTTGGGAGGAGTGCATCGCGAGTCAAGGTTACTACTTCCAAAGGGATCAAACTGAAACCTTTATTCTGTACATAGTTTGGTCATATGAAGACCGTTCTAGGAAATATTTGCCACAAGAGGCATGACCTATGCTTAACTTTGAATAACGAGGATATTCATCGTTATTCTGGCGACTGCCGAATGAAACTCTATTTGCAACTACAATGCAGTTTCACGTTGTTTATTGCCCCCATTTTGTTTGAATTGAGCCTCTACCTGTCCAGCGTGGCGTAAGCGACATGTATCACATCGAAGAATCAAGGGCAACCAAGTGTTTCAAACAAAGTCGTGCCTTCGGGTATCAATCAATTCCATGATGCGTTGATTCACTTCATTTACGTTTCATGGTTTTGTGGCCTCTGTCTCGTCCGTATCCCAACGCGAAGTCCGTGTGTGAGGTCTAGTGAGCTTGGAGGTCATGGAATCGGGCAACTTCGTCCATACTAGCTGCCAGAATCGTCCTGCTAGAATGGCATTCATTGCAGGAGTGAATCGTATGTGAGTACCAGCCGGTACTGCCGGATGATACTTCGCGTTAAGATCTGAACCAGAACGTACTGCGTCTTCACGGAGGACGAAACGCCAGAAAAAATTATTGCCCATAATGGCAACACATATTGAAATTCTTGTGCTTGAACGCTCCTGTTCATGTGATATATGCGAATTTTCTGTACCTCAGACAATACAGTCATGCTGACTGAACTCGTTGCATACGATAAGGTTGCATTTTGAGTGTATTCGGCATTACTTGATGGTCTTCGAGTCTGATACGGGAAATTTTAAGTTCGAACAAAGCACGTCTGATAGATTTTGGCCGACTGCGTGCCATAGTGGCCTCAATTCCTTCAACATGTTTTATATTTGTTGTGGGCTAACCATTATAAGTTTCAACATCAATGGAAGCCCTATCAACGATAATTTGAAATGATGTTCGGGAATATCCACGTTGACAGGCACATAATCTTCTCGATCGGCGACAAATATCATGGAGATTTCATCTGCGCTAGTGGGAGCGTTATGTTGCTTTCTGTCATCGCAACGCCAACGTCTGAACAGTAGCCTGACGTCGCTTGTTTGCCCGCCATTCAACTTCACACGGACTTTCTCGTCATGTGGCGCTTCTCTCAGTATTTTTTCTGTTCAGCGTGGGACCTATCCGACGCAACACTCGATCCATGGTTAGTATCACTTTTCGAAGACAGTTTGTATTCGACGGATGTTGCATGCGCATTTCAACCGCTTTATCCGCATCGTAGACATAGAGTTGAGCATACGCTGGTTGCTAACTTTTATTTAGCGGAGGAACATCATAATTTGATGGGGACGCGACAGCGAAACAATAAGAAATACGGTTTAAAGAGCAATTAAGGCTTAACTTAAGGTTGTAACTACGGAGGGAAAAGGGAGAAAGTGTCTTTTGAAATAGAGTCATCGCTTAGTTAACCTCACAATAAAAAGAAGCCGCAGCATTTCAACTAGAACCACAATTGTTATTATCAAACGTCAATAGAAAGGGTGAGAAAGAAGGCCCCCCCCCCTTAACTGCCCGGACATCTTCTCGGATTAACTCTGCTCCTTACCGTCGCCTTCTCAGTCTCTTCTTCTCAATAAAATACAATGTAGCGGTAGCCGATATCAGACGTCCATTGTTCAGGAGGCGTCGAGAGGAAGTCGAGCAGACTGGGTAGAGACAGCCAAAGTAGAGAGAGAGACCCGCAGTCTGGGGGAAGTCATGTTATGCCCTGCTGCAGGCGGGGCAAGGAGGAGGAAATAGTCAAGGGCGTGAGCCCTAGCATGGGTTGGGTACATGATCCTATCACAAAAAGATTGTAGGTTGGTCGTAGCCAGGTGATACATCATGACATGATGACATCGGGCGACATGAAATCGACGTGGAGTCAAGGAGATTTGGGCGATCCTGGGATTCCGCCTCGAGTGTGAGCGTATTCTTGCGACCGTCGTTTCCGTAACGGAGTTTCATCGGCCAGTTCTTATCGTTCAAAGCAGGGCTGTCCAAATCCCCGGGTTGCCGACAATTCCTAAGGAGAGGAATCGGCAACTGCTCTTGAAATGCTCAATATAGACTTCATTTTCACAAATTCGCTCAACAGTGATATATTCGTGACAACGGTGCCATCCACGTTCAAGTATTTGTTTGGTCTCCACTACAGCAGAGACTCCACGTAATACTTCTACGTTTCTCTCGTCTGGAGCTAACTTCCCTTTTTTTTTCAGAGCGTAGAGAGAGGCTCCTGCTCTACCATGGTAGCGGCGGTTAGGGTTGGGAGTACGCTTTTTGCTGGCCAAGGCACTTGCCGCAGAGGTGCAACTTCAACTCAAGGAAGTGCTCCTAATCCAGCCTCAGCAACGTTCTGAGATTGATGTGCTTCCCGACGCCCCACTGACCACTGGCCGTAATTTCGTACATATGGCCAATCTTCTGAAAATGCACCCTCAGAAAATCTAACTTTCGCACCTGCCGGCTTGTTTTTTATTTACTGTCTTTTTTGCAGCTGCCTTGGCACGCTCCCGCGTCCACTCAGTTTAAGGAATTAAAATAACAGTGTAGCAACACTGATGCCGAAAAGATCGAGAGCTATGCCCACCCTTTTGCCCCTAACGCAATAGCTGCACTTGGAGGTGAGGTTGTAATTGGAGAGTGCGTCGATCTTGAGGTCCTTGGTCCATGACCGTGGGGTCCC